ACAGGTTAACACTCTAATAAAATAAGGATAAAACACCAAACCTAATCACAGAGGCTAAGGTAAGATTTTAGAGAGGATTCTCAGAAGAGATCAACACCTAGGAGTATTCACTCACTTTTACTTTATGAATACTACGTACTGCCTCTATTCGCCATGGAGCGTTGCTATCAAGTCAAGATTATGGATGAGCATACATTGTGACTCAACATTACTAAAGACATATCCATTCGTAAAAATAATTATGTATATACACAGTTACGTTACTAACATTATCGATAATGCCCAACAAAGGAACTTAGCTAGGTAGGTATCTTCTTGGATTTTGATATTAGCTTATTCTCCGTGAGCCTCCCTGGAAGGGCTTGTTTTGCTATCTGCTGACAGACATGGCCGACAACTATGAAAATCCAATCGCTTACTGCCAGATTGCTCCACCCGACTTTTCCACATCTTATAGGTCGATTAGTCTTCTAACTATGAATCCCTTCATCCTCAGCCGAGAAAGCTTGTCACTTAAACCTGTCCCAGCAACAAAATCAATTTAGCGAACTTTTACATGTTACTTTTATTTAGTGTGTAATTTTTTACTTCAAATTTTTTTGGCCCTAGTCAACTGAGCAGTCGGTTGTGAGAATTAGGCAGAAAGAAGAACCAAGAAATCTGTAACTGGGTTGTGATCAATTTTAGCTACGTAAACCAGATGTGCCAGGCCCACCTAGCTACTCCTCCGACACAGTCCAGAACCCTCAAGTGATTCACCAGACCTTTCAAATTGACACAGTAATAAAGGAGGCCTGAGGGAGTACACGGCCAGGTACAAAGGTATAGCCCACAACGGGGTTGGGGACCGCACACACACACAACCAACAACCTACCAAACCAGCAGGTATTCCCTTCTTTTTCTGTTGTAACTTTTATCTCTAGCTTCCTCTAAAAATGAGTTTATGAATGCTACAAAATGTTTTAAGTTACTACTATAAGGTAATGCCTATGTAAATTGAACATTTACACAAAAATTCTGTATCTTTTATATATTTATTCGGCGCAGAGAGGAACTTATAGTCTGTCACCAGGATTCCATCAACAGGAGTCGTGAGGCCAGCGAGCAGTGGCTCACCACTTGTAATCCTAGCACTTTGGGAAGCCAGGGAAAGGAGAAATCTGCTTGAGCCCAGAATGCCGGGCATGGTGCACACACCTGTGCTCCCAGCTATTCAGGAGGCTGAGGTGGGAGGGTAAACTTGAGCCCAGAAGTTCAATAGCTAGCACGCGAGCTATGATCACACCACTGCACTCCAGCCTGGGCAACAGAGAGAGACCTTATCTCAAAAAAATAAATAAATATAAAAATAAAAATAAAATAAAGGAGACTGAGGCCAAAACGTGGGTAACAGTCACTGAACTAAAGCATTCTTGCTTTCAAAAGCATGAAAAAATTATATAAACAGAAATGCAATGCCTAAAAAAAGTATGTTTTCAATTCTGTGGAAACAAAACTATAGGTCAACATTGATTTTGCATATAGTTTGATGTGTTATTTACATGTAAAAGCGGGTGGTTGTGTTATTTGTTAGGGAGGAAAAGAGGGATTTTCTAAGAATTTCTTCTCTCTTAAGATTCAGCACCTTAATTTACCCTAGAAAATAGTGTATAATCATAGTCTTGTGTATAAATCTAGACCTGATGCTGGGATCAGTGCCTCATCACTTTCCTTTGAATAATAAAAGTGTAAGCATTGTGCCAGGTATTCAAAAACATCTAAGATGAATCACCATTCCTACCAAGAAAAATACAATTTCTAAATAGGGTTTAATGGTTTGTAAGATGGAATCACTGATTTATAATCAGAGAAAAAAAAGTAAGATAGTCACTTTACTAAAATTATACACTAAAATAATGATTAATATTAAACTCTGAAACATCTCTCTTCAATTATAGTCTAGTAACCATCAGTAACATCAAATTAGATCACTCTACAGAATACAGTTATCACAACACATTACTTGTGACACATTTCTAAGTATAATTTGTACCACAGATTTAAATTTTGGCAAACCTGAGAAAAACAGGCTCGGCACAGTGGCTCACGCCTGTAATCCCAGCACTCTGGGAGGCTGAGGTGGGCGGATCACTTGAGGTTAGGAGTTTGAGACCAGCCTGGCCAACATGGTGAAACTCCATCTCTACTAAAAATACAAAAATTCCCGGGCGTAGTGTTGTATGCCTGTAATCTCAGCTACTCGAGAGGCTAAGGCACAAAAATTGCTTGAACCTGGGAGGCAGAGGCTGCAGTGTGCCAAGATCGTGCCACTACACTCCAGCCTGCGTGACAGAGCAAGACTCTGCCTCAAAAAAAAAAAAAAAAAAAAGATTGAGGAAAACAACATGCTATCATATTCAAAGTAAACTTTTTGAAAATCAAAATAAAATTATGTAATTTTTATTTTAATCCTAAGAAACACATGAACAAACATTGGACTTCTCAAAGTTGCAAGGCAACATTCAAATAGGTAAGAGCTAACTAGAAACTGAAGCACTCCACATATAAAATAAAAATACAAAAACCAACAAAAGAAAAAAATCTATATATATACATATACAGAGAGAAAGAGAAAAGTGAAGCACTTAGGGATATTAATGTACCAACTGTATAGGAAGTGAATAAATTATATCCACCAATTATGCCATTGCTTAAGGCTTGATGACAATAACAATGCAATCAGCAACTTTAAGTATTAATAAATATAGAAAACAATTTTCTTAATGTTTTATGAAAGGAACGCCCCCAAAAAAGGGCATTTCAACTTTAAGGAATAACAACTAATTCACTTCACTTAAAATATATTCATACATTTTAACTCACAAACCCTCCTCCCACACCAATGTTCTGGTTAATGAGTCTCAGTTACTCATGTTTTTTGTTTGTTTGTTTGTTTTGTTTTCCTCTCTTTTACCCTCTGCTTCTAATGGTTAAGAAGCTACTTATGTTTTTATATATATTTAACTACTAAGTTCAAGGTGCTTTATTGTGGGAGAGTAAAGAAGAAGAAAGGGAGGGTCCTTACTCTATTCATACAAGAAAGGTTTGCTGAACATCTATATTATGTACCAGGTTGTGAGGCTACAACAATAAATAAGGCAAGTCCCCTTCCCTGGAAGGGCACAATACGACAAATCACAGAAATGAGAAGTGCCATTAGAGAAACAGAAAATGTTATGAAAATTCAGGGGAGAGCGACTTTCATTAGGGAAGTCTAAGAAAAATTCTAAAGGAAGTGTGGACATTGAGCTAAAGCTCAAAGAATGGATGGAGTTTTCATTTCTCTTTGTCTCTTTGAGTGTTACTCACTGTAAAAACCTAAAACGCTACAGAGGGAGGCACAAACTGAAAAGTAAAAATACTCCTTCTTACTCCAGCAGGAGCTACTCTGGAGTTTCTCACAGAGCCTTCCAGAAATTGTCTTTGCATGCCTATGCATACATTGTTTTTTATCACAAACAAAATATTACTCATACCATTCTGCAACTTTTAAAACATATATCTTAGGTATCTTTCCATACCAACATATAGGGATCTACTACATTCTTTTTAACAGAACAGAATTCTACCATAGTTTGTTTAACCAGTCCCCCATAGATGGATTATTTAGGTTATTTTCACTTTTTGCTATTTCGAACAATGCTGCAGTGAGCTTCCCTGCTTATCTGTATATTTATGTCACTTTCCGTAGGATAAATTCTTAGAAGTAGACTGTTGGGACAAAGAGTTTATGCATTTTTTAAACAGACATTGCCAAACTGCCCTCCTAAGAAACCGGCACCAATTTGCACTCCCACCAACAATCTGTGAGGACTGTTTCCAAATGGGGAAGAAATCCGTGGCAGGAGTGGAATGGATGCAATACGGGTAAAGAAGGCAGCATGAGGAAAGGCTGGAATACAATATAGGCTTCTTCTGGAGACGCATGGAGCATATGCAGCATAGCAATAGCGAGCTTATTTAAGACCATGTGGAAGGTCAGTAAGGGCCTCTAACTGCCAAGTTAACGGTTTGGAGCTTTGTTAATAAGTAGTGAGGAGCTATTTAAGGTTTCTGAGTACAGGAATGACATGACTGACGCTTTATCTTGGGACAGTGATGTGATAGCAGTGGGACAGATGCGTTGAAAGAGTAAGACTGGAGGTGGACTAGCCTTTCAACGGCTGTTTTAAGGGTGAAATTACAAGGAGATGGAATTTTATAGGAGAATCCCTTAGAGGTGGAAGGAGAGAAAGGAGAAAGTCCAGAGCATTTTCAAAGTTTCAAGTCAGAGTAACCTACCACCATTAACAGGATGAGACACGTTTTCATTTATGTACCTGCCTTACTGTGAGATTAGTGCAAAACAGCCACGTCAAAGTATCCAGCTAGCAGATGGAGAAGCACACAAGAGTAAAGAGAGGCCCAAGTTTCAAATACATACAAGGAAGTCACATTTATAGAAGCGACTTATGAAAGTGTGAAGAGATCTTTGAGGAAAAGCATGAACAGGAAAGTGCTGAGAGCACTATTTGGGGGTAACCCCTATATTTCTGAAACAGGAGGTAAAAGAAAAAGCATATCCAAAGCCCTGCAGCCTTTCTCATCTAGGGCCTCATCTGAATCACAGAACACAGAAAATGCTCTGAGTGACCATCTTCTCACTTCTCCCAAGGATGGTACATAAATAGTACCATTTTGGGTGCACAGCAAGTTAATTCATTCCATTCAATGGATGCCTTAGGGCATTAGAGCTTAAATCCCTCCTGAACTCGGTCGAGAAGACTGCTGCAGGAATAGGGATGAAGCCATTATCACCAAGCTGACCACGCATTTCATGAGTGGTCAATATTATAGGATACGTCACCTCTCTGAATTATAAGCTGATCATCTTTCTGGTAAATCCATCCCCCACCACTGCCGTATGAAAAATAATGACGTATCGGAGTCAGAAACTCAGAATGGCTTCACCATCAACCGCCTCCAATTGCAGCCCAATACAAAGCTTGCCCTCGGGACTTCAGTTCCGCCCATTGCGCTGGGTAGAGGGGCCAGCGCGGTTCCCCATTTCTGCACTAGGGGCAGAGCCCGGGGGCCGTAGCTGCCAAAAGCCGCCTACTCCCTCACGGTTTCTCCGGAGTCCTACCCATTCCGGTCCCGGCCCCTCACACCCAGCCCGGGCCGCGCTTCCTACCCGACAGTACGTACCACGGCTCGGCTCCCCGGCCTCCAGGCAGTAGGGTGGCCGTGTCAGGGCCCCGTCCGGAGACGACGGCCCAGGGACACTCATGTCCCTCCAGCTGGGAACAGAGAGAAGGGGCAAACGTGTGGCCCGTCAGAAGCAAGGAGGCACCTAACGACTCCAGTGTCTGGCCGGACAGAAGAGATTGTCGCACCCGGAAGTGACGGAAGCGAAAAACTGCAGGCTTCGGTCACGCGCTCGAGAGTTGGCTCTGCCCCAAGGCGTTGTGGGGACCCCGCGCTGATGTCGTCGTCTGGCCCCGGACGCAGTGTCAACGGACTCAGCAGAGCGGGGCTCGAGGCCCTGCGACCCGATTGGTGGGAGCTGAGGGAGGACGGTGGCGGGTTTGGGCTGCTCACCGGGTGGGTCACGAAGACCGGAAGAGCGTTGTCTTTGTTGGACGCGGGCGAGCAGTCAGGCTTTGGTCACTGAAGCTAGGGAGAAAACAGGACTTTCAGCCTTCACGCGGGACAGCTTTTTAGTGTTATCTCCCTGTTCAGGGAAAAACTTAGGAACAGGGAGTGCGCACTTTCCCTGCGGTTTGGACCATTAAAAAATTCGGATGCCTAGGTGTCTGCGAGCCTCAGCCTTGCTAACTACGGTTTTGCCACTATTCCGGTCTCCCCTTGTTAAGTGTAGATGAAAGATTTAAGCCCTCCGTTGCAGCAGCTACTGAACAAATTCGACCAAATTATCAGAAACTGCACTTGCTGAGATCCTGTGGAATGATCTCATGAATTCTGTTGGAAAACACTTAGAAAAGGGCATATAGGCAGCTTTGGACCAAAGAAAACGATTTAGCTTTGCCACCTCTAGCTTATACCCTCTCATCTCAACTGTAATGGTGGCCTCCTGATGTTGCTCCCCAACTATGCCTGTTTAGTTTTCTCAGCTGCAACCAAAGCTTACTTCAAAAAAATAAGAATTTGCAAGCCTCAGAAACGAGCACTGGCTCCCCATTGCCCTTATCAGTGCATTCACACCCTTTCCTCTTTGGGCCTCTTTTCCTCTTAGTATTAGCTCCTCCTTATTACCCATGGTAGGCAGAATAATAGCCCCTCAAAGATGTCCACAGCCTAAACACCAGAAGCTGTGAATGTGTTAGCTTGCATAGCAAATGGGAATTAAGGTTGTTAATTACCTGGTGTTGAAATAGATTATCTTGGAATCGCTTTAACCAGGGAGGCAGAGGTTGCAGTGAGCTCCACTGCACTCCAGCCTGGGCGACAGGGCGAGACTCCATCTCAAAAAAAAAAACAAAACATTATCCTGGATTGTTCCAGCGAGCCAATTGTAATCATAAGGGCCTCCAAAACTGCAAAAGAGAGTCAAGAATGACAAGTAACTATGAAGAATGATTAGAGAGATACAACATTGTTGGCTTTGAATATAGAGGAAGGGAGTCTCCAGCATTGTGGGTGACCTCCAGAAGCTGGAACTGACAAGGAAACATTCCCCCGAAGCCTCTCTAATGCTCTGATGACACCCTGATTTTATCCTCATGCGATCATTGTTGGACTTCTGACCAACAGAACTGTGAAATAATCTGTGTCTTAAGTTTGTGATAACTTGTTATAACACCAATAACAATACTACCCTTCAAGACATTCTTTATTCCATCTGAGCATTCTCCTAAAATTATACCCTTTCATGTCTGCAGTGCTCTTGCTTGTGCTTCAACATGAAATATTCTATTCTTTTGTAAACCAAAAATAAAATTCTAAACCCCACAACTGACTGATGGATCCCCTGCCCCCCACCTCTTGGCCAAAGGCATTCCAAAGTAAACCTGAAAGTCTAGTTTTTCCATCATCTAGATGGAAGTGGGGATTGGGGGTTAGTCGGGGGGATGGGTCGGGCATGCCTCATTACACCCCCCTCCCTTTGGAATTCAGGCTCAGCTGAACAGCAGTCACATGAAAACACATCTTAAGACTGCCAGAAAAGACTTTTTCTAGCTTTTCTAGACTTTTATTTTTGACACCAAGCCAGCCTGACTCTAGTATAGCATCACGACAGATAGCAGGCCCTGAAAGAAATTGAATTATTTAACCCCAGAATATATTTCTTTGACATATTTTTAAATGGCCCTGCAAAGCTGTATCTTGTGGTGGGAAACCTACAGTCTGTAGAAAAAGCCCTGTTCCTTTCCAGGTGTTTTCCCTTACCCGGGAGAGAATTAACCAAGTCTGGCACCTTTTTAGGTCTGATAAGAGCTCTACCTGAGGCTTCATCTGCATGATAAAACCTTGATCTCAGCCGGGCTCGGTAGCTCACGCCTGTAATCCCAGCACTTTGGGACACCAAGGTGAGTGAATCACCGAGGTCAGGAGTTCGAGACCAGCCTGACCAACATGGTGACTGAAACCCTGTCTCTGCTAAAAATACAAAAAAAAAAAGCCGGGCACGGTGGCGGGTGCCTGTAATCCCAGCTTCTCGGGAAGCTGAGGCAGGAGAATCACTTGAACGTGTGAGGCAGAGGTTCCAGTAAGCCAGGATCACACCATTGCACTGCAGCCTGGGCAACAAGAGTGAAATTCTGTCTCAAAAAAAAAAAAACCACCTTGGTCTCCACAACCCCTTATCTTAACCCAGACATTCTGTTGACTCCAGGTCTTTAGATAATAACTTAAGTCTTTTTTGTTTGTTTATTTCCTAATGTAAAGTCTCCCTATGTTGCCCAGGCTGCTCTGAAACTCTTGGCCTCAGGCAGTCCTCTCACCTCAGCCTCCCAAAGCACTGGGATTACAGGTGTGAGCCACCACACCAGCCTGATAATCTTTCAATTGACTGTGACCCTGGAGTCTCTGCTTCCAGGTGTCCCGCCTTTCAAGACCAAGCCAATGTATATCTTACGTGTTTGATGAATGTCTTAGGTCTTCCTAAAGTATATAAAACTACACTGTAGTCTTGTCAGAGGCATTTGAACCAGAGCAACTCCATCTTGAATAGGGGCTGGGTAAAATGAGGCTGAGACCTACTGGGCTGCATCCCCAGGAGGTTAGGCATTCTTAGTCACAGGATGAGATAGGAGATCGGCACAAGATACAGGTCACAAAGACCTTGCAGTAAAGAAGCCAGCCAAATCCCACCAAAACCAAGACGGTGCCAAAAGTGACCTCTGGTCATCCTCACTGCTCGGTATTTGCTAATTATAATGCATTAGCATGCTAAAAGACACACCCACCAGCACCATGACAGTTTACAAATGCCATGGCAACATCAGGAAGTTACCCTATATGGTCTAAAAAGGAGAATAATCCTCAGTTCCAGAAATTGCCCACCCCTTTTCTGGAAAACTCGTGAATAATCCACCCCTTATTTAGCATATAATCAGGAAATAACTATAAGTGTAATCAGTGAGCAGCCTAAGCCACTGCTCTGCCTATGAGTAGCCATTCTTTATTCCTTTACTTTCTTAATAAACTTGCTTTCGCTTTATTCTATGGACTCATCAGAATTCTTTCTTGTGCAAGAACCAAGAGCTCTCTCCTGGGGTCTGAATCAGTACCCCTTTCTGCTAACAGACTGACCACCTTGGGCATATGTTCTCAGGATCTCCTGGGGCTGTGTCACGGGCCATTGGCCACTCACATCTGGCTCAAAATAAATCTCTTCAAACATTTTACAGAGTTTGACTTAATCAACATTTTCAAAGTCCTACTTTTCAGCTGGGTACGGTGGCTCAAGCCTGTAATCCCAGCACTTTGGGAGGCCGAGACGGGCAGATCACGAGGTCAGGAGATCGAAACCATCCTGGCTAACATGGTGAAACCCTGTCTGTACTAAAAATAGAAAAAATTAGCCGGGCGAGGTGGCGGGTGCCTGTAGTCCCAGCTACTCAGGAGGCTGAGGCAGGAGAATGGCGTGAACCCGGGAGGTGGAGCTTGCAGTGAGCTGAGATCTGGCCACAGCACTCCAGCCTGGGTGACAGAGCGAGACTCCGTCTCAAAAAAAAAAAAAAAATACAAAACTTAGCTGGGCATGGTGGCACATGCCTGAAATCCCAGATATTCGGGAGGCTGAGGCAGAGAATCGCTTGAACCCAGGAGGTGGAGGTTGCAGTAAGCCGAGATGGTACCACTGCACTCCTGCCTGGGTGACAGAGCAAGACTCTGTCTCAAAAAAAGAAAAAAAGTCCTACTTCTCTTTCAAGGCTCACTCTTAAAGCCTTTACTTTAAAATCATTCACAGTCCCACTTCTCCTTTCATTCAGAAGTTACAGTAATAACCCTTTATCAACTACAAAGCATCCTGCTATTTTAGCACTTAATCTGTTCTTTTTTCTCCCCCCCGTGGTAGAGACGGGTTTTGCTATGTTGCCCAGGCTGGTCTCGAACTCCTGAACTCAAGTGATCTGCCAGCCTCAACCTCCCAGAGTGCTAGGATTACTGGCATGAGCCACCGTGCCCGTCCACTTAATTTGTTCTTGTATTAGTTATTTTCTTTGTCTCCCTCTTTTAGATTGCAAACTCCGAACATACACTCTTATTCACGCAGAATCATAATAGGTTCTCAATAAATATTCGATGAATGAAGGAAATATTGATTCTCTAGCCCCATTTCCAGATATCTATAATCTTTAAAGTCTGCATCACACAATATGGCATTTGATAAACTGCCTGGTAACCTTAGCTGGTTGTTAGTATTATCTCCCAACTAGATAGTAAGGCCATTTAGAATAAAGCCGTGTCCTGTGGGTTGTCTGTAGCTCTTTATCTCTTAGCAGAGTATTAACCATATTACATGGATTTTAAAATACTGGTTTTTTTTTTTTTTTTTTTGAGACGGAGTCTCACTGTGTTTCCCAGGCTGGAGTGCAGTGGCGTGATCTCGGCTCACTGCAAGCTCCGCCTCCCGGGTTCACACCATTCTCCCGCCTCAGCCTCCCAAGTAGCTGAGACTACAGGCGCCTGCCACCACGCCTGGCTAAAGACGGGGTTTCACCATGTTAGCCAGGATAGTCTCGATCTCCTGACCTCGTGATCCACCCGCCTCGGCCTCCCAAAGTGCTGGGATTACAGGCTTGAGCCACCGCGCCCGGCCTTATTTTTTATTATGATTAAAAATAAAAACAAGGTCTCACTATATTGCCCAGGCTCATCTTGAAATCCTGAGCCTGAGTGATCCTCCTGCCTCAGTCTCCCAAAGTGTTGGGATTACAGGTGGAGCCACCATACCCGGCCAAAATACTGGTTATTTAAATTCAGTGGATGAAATTAAACTGTTACACCCTGCCGATTTTTCATTATCTTCTATTTTGCTTTACGGAACAATTCATGTTGGAAATTTGATGATCTTTTTCGGCATTTTAACTTTACTTAATGTGACAAAAACTAATCAGCTAAATAGACAAGGAGGACTTTGTACCAAACCCATCTTGCTTTTCTCTTTCTCCTTTTCCCTCTACCCCCACAGATTTCAGCTGAATGCATCTGTT